TAGTAATGATCTTCGTAGGATATTTTAAACCCTCATTCTGAAAATCACAAATAAATCAACTTTGACTAGACGATTGTGTGGAGCATCTTCTACGATAAAAGTGCTACAGACCAACTGTAATGATTAGAATTTATATATGTACTCTTAAATCTAGGTGGAAACTAATTTTTAATATTTTTTGTTCCAGAGTAATAACTTTTGGTCTATATAACACAAAACTATTCGCTTCCTCTTGTAAGAGATATGATCAGATAAAACGTTTTGATTGACAAGAAATTAGCTGTAAAAAATGTGTACACTAACTATTGACCATAAGTTTCTTAGGTAATTAAATCAACTGACTAAATTTATTCGTTTTCCTATTAGTCTTGAATACAATAATATTGAGGCAAGTATATCAGTAAATGGCTTTTTTTTACAGTTGAATCAAATGTATATAAAAGTTGGCACTGGGAAAAAGAACTACTAATATCACTAATAATTTGGCTAAAGCAACTGTTCCACACTAATCATAACAAAGGCTTCATAGAATTATTATTCAAAAATAACTCAATAAAAACCAGTATATTGCTACTTATTTACTTCAGACATTTCGATTTATCTTTACTAGTAAATGTCATCATATATATATATATATATATAACAAGCAAATAATAAAACAAAATCAGTATAGTTCCATAATTTACGTCTGTTCTAGCTATTCAATATAAATTGGATTGACAATGAAACTATATTTCTTTATTTTTTCAGACAAAAAAGTGGGTAAATTAACAAAAAAAATTTTTTCAAATTTATTATAATTATTGTTTTTTATTTACACATTATGTACTTTACACTAAGCTAAATAAGTAATATCTGTCAGTAATGAATTACTCTCATTTAATTTTTATCATTTTGGTTTGATTTTATTTTATGGAAGAAAAAAATACCCGTTTAATTAAGCAAATTTAAATTGACCAGAATGAAAAGATGAACAAGGAGGATCAGATGCAAACGTAAACGCGAGGATTGACAAAGCAAGAGCCGAATTCCTACAAATAAAGAACATAACGAACTCAAAACAAGTGTCTGCAAGCCAATATCAAAGTCACGATTTTCTATACGGACGTCAAGGCAGTCCTACTGTACGGAACTACGACTACAACGATCATCAAGAAGGTACAAGTATTTATAAATAGTTGTCTATGCAAAATACTCAACATACATTGGCCTGATACCATCAGCAACAGCCTTCTCTGGGAGAGCACAAACTAGCTCCCATTTGAAGAGGAAATTAGGAAAAGACGATGGAAATGGATAGGACATACATTACGCAAATGATCAAACTGCATCACGAGACAAGCCCTAACTTGGAATCCTGAAGGGAATTGGAAAAGAGGGAAGCCAAAGAACACATTACGTCGCGAAATAGAAGCAGATATGAAAAGGATGAATAACGACTGAAAAGATCTGGAAAGGATTGTCCAGGATAGGGTTGAATGGAGAATGCTGATGGGCGGCCTATGCTCCTACACGAGGAGTAACAAGCGTACGTAAGTAAGAATGAAAAGAGAAACACTTTAAATAATTTCAATAATACATCAGACATATAACAACTTTTTATGATTCTTTGTCAGCAATACTTTTTTTAAAAAAAAAATAAAAAGTTAGTGCATGATATTTATAAAGTATTATGTTTTAGTTTGTTTTTTATCAAAATAGATAAATTGTTATTTTGGCCCAAATACCTGTCGAGTGTTTGTTTAAAACCTCATTCTTAACCTACTTCGAATGCTTATGTATGTAAATATATATACAAGGATATGACTTAGATAACAGAATAAAATCTATTACAAGTAAATCTTAAAACTTAGGTCTATTTTTTGTTGTTGACTGGTTATATACATGAAGTAGCAATGTTACATACATTTTTCATTTAAATCCAACTTCAATGTATCTAAATGATCAAATCATTTTAACCTAGTTGAATTGAATCTCTAGATTGAATTATTTGATTCAACTACTGACTAACTCCTGTTGATTAATTCAAATTCATTTAAATTTCGTTTTACATTTAATAAACTTCTGTGAGAAAAAGATGTATTGTAGCAACGATTTTGCTAAATTACTGGTTCAAACCCTGTTCAACTTGCTTTGTGACAGCCTTATAGTATATATTCTTCAAGTGTTTATGAAGTCGATTCTAAAGGTTTACTTGTAGTATTTTTAATTATTAAATCTTATTTAAGAATGTATTCTTTTATGAGGAATGATTATAGTTTCCCCATGTACAAAAGCTCACTGATTATTGTGAACACTTTACATTTGTTTGCATTGTAATATCTTGAAATCTCAGTCCGTAATTACTGAAAGCAGGATACCCATGACAGTTGTTTCATTTATAGTTAATGGTTTTGCTATGTTTAGCTAAGAACACATTATTAAAATAAAATCTCAACGATAATCGACACTATTAATCAAACATAACCTATTCCATTTATTTATTACCAAAGAAAGTCTAGACAACCGTACGCAAATTTAGTAATAATGCCATTTGAAAATGGCATATAATCTTGGTACAACGAAAGTGTTTAATGGCCCAACGAATGACAAGGGTAAAATCTATACTGATTTCACTACATGTGAAATAAATGAAGCATACAATGTCACAATTAAACAAAATTTCCCACAAAACTTAAATACTAAAAAAAACTACTTAATGAGATGGTTTTTGAACGAATTTGTGAAAGCCGTAAAATCTAAGGACTTTCAATGAGATCAAACAAAAAACCTCCTAGTTTAACTATATGTATGAAACCATTCAACTGTTGAGTAAGAATACATTACTTATTGATTTTCAATGATTCCGCAGCTAACATCAGTTCGGTGACTAAAATTGTCTTAATGAAATATTACTTCAGCAAATGTGAAAACACAGAAATTGCATGTCTTGATCATGAAACAAGAAAAATTTTAAATGCAATCTTATTATATTCAAAATGGTGGTAATACTGTACATTTGATTTAACACTACCTATTTAAATGGAAAAGAAACTTTTTTGTATAAATACCGCAACCATATTTAATATATTCCTAATTAGGGAAAAACTGAAAATAACCAGTAAATCCAGTTCAGATACTGTAATTTTGACAATCGAAAATATTTACAATCGTGATTAACAATTGTATGTAGCTCATTCTAAAAGTTGACGGTTTAATTCTGACAACACATAACGCTACACTCGGATAACACATATATTAGAAATATGATTGAGTCTCGAATTTAACTCAACAGTAGTAGTTTATTGCTGTTAACGATATTCGAAGTGTTTTTCTTTAGCATAACTGGCATACTGGATTCAATCATTTTAAGTTAAAACTTAGTAAACAATGAACCGATCGACGAATAACAGCAGCGTTTTTTTCTCTAACTTTTACTAATTTTGTAATGATGCTTGTCAATGTATTTTCTTCTTGAGTTGCCACTTTTGTGCTGAATATAATACTTATGTGGGGACACGAGATTAAAAACTTGACTGGTTGGTTTTGAAAAATTAAAGAACCAAAACACTTATCGCGATTGAACAGATAGAAGACAAGTATGCCCAACATTTAGGAGGCATTGTTCGGGACTGATAACTTATAGCTGAACACCAGTGAATTGAATTGAAATACTAACTGCTGATATTCTACTTGTTCACTATTCTTATAATGATTAAGACGTCTTTATAGAAGTAGGCATATTGAGTGCTTGATTATTTTCGCAAACAGAATCAGTAACACTAATAGCGTGTACTTGTAAACAAACATTACCTTCTCTCACTTATCACTGCCTTTCAAATTATTTACCATGAAATTCCTGAATTACACAATAATTAAGGATAGTATGTTACATCCAGGATCAGTATTATTATTAGCTTTATTCAATGATATATTTTTTGTACAATATAGAATTCTCGGCATGAAGTATTTCAACAAGTTTCCCATTTCTTATTTCTTGATCGATCCTGACGATAAATGTTGAGTGATTGCCAGCTAGAAGTTAGCAGTCCAGGAATCGATATTTGAATAACGTATATTCCTTTCGATGCATATTGTCAGCAACCACGATGTCGCTGATTTGGACTTTTGTAACTTGTACAACGAAAGGTTGTACACTTTCCAGAAACGCACTTGAATAGGTTATGCAATTAATTGACATAATGATGTATGAAAACGAACGAACAAAAACATATAACTTATTGAGATATATAAATGATAGGAACAGGTAACCCAGATATTCAAGCAGGTCGCCTTATACATATAGTGTAATTCGCTTAAACGTATGAGTTTGTGAACTCAGATTAAGGTGATAACAGCAGCCTGTCTAAATCAAAATAGTGTTTACCGGTAGAAAATCAAAGTCTTACCATCAAGCTTTGAACCCATTTCTTTTCGACTAAAGGGAAAAGATAAGCGCGCACGTAACCTATAGAACTAGCAGCTTGAAAACACTCAACAAAACCCAAACGGCTTAAGACTACGTATGTAGATCATCATTATGACGATCATTCCCAGACTAAAGAATCCAAAAACATTTGAAGAGAAAAATGATTGAAAACTTTGTATTAATGCATATATAAATGTATTCTTTATTTGTTATCAATTCATCTTCAAACAAACAACTGTGTACATTTGTCGTGAAAGTGAGTTGATTAAAGAACAGATTTACATGCGTAAAAATGATGAAACAAAACCAACAGATAAACGGTTTTACCTTGAATATTCTCACCAAGAAATTTGATGATAAAAAGACAAATTGTGTGTATTGAGTCATGAAATATTTTAAAACAATTAAAGTACTAACCACAAGTACCATTGGAAAAATTACAGAATATATTAGATATTCTCAAATTTTGTTCATTTTCTGCATTTCATAAACAACAAAAACTACTCACATTCGATAATTGTGCTACTAATAGTAGTCATAGTAGTAGTAACAATGGTATTAACAGTGAATTCAACTAATAATAAAGTATCATTCATATAAATCGAACTAATAGTGATGAATTCAGAAGATCACCATCTTCTAGTGTTTGTGTATCTTCATTTAACTCACGGGTCGGATAGGATGTCATCAATGCAAATAATCTGGAAGCCAAATCTGGTCTTTCACTAAAATTTTGAAGGGAGTAAACCATAAATAAAGATTATATATATATACGCTAAACAATTATATAAGGTTCCTAAAATATTAAAAAAGGACAAATTTAAACAAATTACCATAAGAAAGGCAAATAAATCATACTGAATAGATAATTTGTGTTACATTACCGAAAATAACAACTATTCAGTAGTGACAAATTTGTCTAGAATGTAACCAACAGTGAAAATTACACCTCGTACCCAATTAGATTAAAAATAAAGTTTAGATGGAAAAATGATTATGTGTTTAAAGACTAATAATTAAAACCTTGTAATATAAATCTTTGGAAAAAGGTCTTATTCACATAATAATCTGATGCAGCAAAATACTAACCTACCATGGACAGTTTCAGTGGGATAAACATAAATTAAAAATTCCAAACACATCACTAACAAAATGGTACATAGTGAACTATTCTTATTGAATTTACAGAAATTTACCACAGAAAGCATTTAGAAAACTTTAGTTTATTAACTTGAGAAGTTTAAAATAAAATAAAATTACTCAACAATCTGCTCCGCTTAAAAAAAACGATTACTTAATACTATTACTATTATTAGCTTTATTCAATATTATATTTTTGGTACAATATAGAATCCTCAGGATGAAGTATTTCTACAAATTTCCGTTTCTTACTTCTTAGTCGATACTGACAATAAATAACGAGTGGTCGCCAGTTAGATGTTACCAGTTCACTAAATCGACGTCAAAATAATGTACATTTTTTGGCTGCATAATCCCAGCAACCAAGATATCTCTGATTGAGCCTTTTGCAACTTGTACAACGAAAGGTTTTACACTTTTCAGAAACGCACCTGAATAAGCTATGAGACTAATAGGCATAATGATGCGTTAAAACAAAACAGATAACTTGTTGAAATATCTAGATGGCAAGAACAGGTAACCCAGATGTTCAAGCAGGTCGCTAAGTTATTGAAAATACAAGAATATGATTTCTAAAAAGTATTATTCAAACACTACGCATCTTATTCAGTTGCGAGAGCCTTTGAAAAAACACTGGCTTCAATTATCAAAACAAAAAAATATAAAGCGAAGGTTATCTCAGGTATAAAAGTATTCTACTTAGTCATATATATATATATATATATATATATATATATATATATATATATATATATTCGATTTTGTTCGATCAATTATATAAATTTTCAAGATTATCAGTGATGAAAACCACCAGCCATTAGAAATAAACTACTCCGATGTTGACGGCACAAATAAATTGAATAGACATGAAAATATGCAAACCTAGAAGTGACTGTTATAACCAGACATCTTAGAAATTTATCTATAAATACTTTTCTTAGCAAAATGTTCATTCATATTGGAAGTCTATTCACTCATCACCAGTAAATTTAAGAGGTTAAGAAATAGAATTAAACCCTTACATACGGAGAACAATTCATGTATCTATTAATGAAACCATCTAACTGCAATCAAAAGGAGCTTATTGGAATTATTTCGTAGTTTTAACATTTAAGGTTCCATTGAAAAAAAACGTTTTGTAACACGTTTATGAATCTTTCCAACGAGATATTTTTTGCTGAAAAAACACATACTGAGTAATAATAGATAGTTTACTACCATTAGAAGTCAATTGAAAAAAAAGTAATGAGAGAGACATAAAGTCGTAATACACTTAATTTACTGATTTGGCAAGAAAAAACGATAAACGAGATTACTTCATGACTTACTTAACACACGAATATATTTACATCATTAAAGATAGTGTTATGCCTCAAAAGGGGCGCCGATTATATGACAGTGACTTATCGATCGGATCAGGGATTCAGAATCTCGATAGACTATTCTGGTCCGTTGTCCCCAACTCTGCTAACTCGATCAAGAAGTCTGGGTAAGGTGTAGAAAGTGTATTCTACAGACAAACAGCAGATAACAAGTCAGGCAGGCAGATCAGATCAAGCATACAAGTCAAGCGTATTTATACAAATATTTACAATCGATATTGTCATGGAAGATTTTTGAACATTAATCAACAATTGACTGCTATTTGAACCTTTAATCGATAGTTCATCAATTGACCTATCTGCACATTTAATCGATAAGTAAATTACAAAATTTGAGTTTTGGGGATCTATCGTCCCCAACAGATAGATATATATCTGTACCCAACACTCGTAATTAATAGGGTTTTGAGTTTTTACTCTGACACTGGTCAGTTCGATGTTAGTTTAAATCAGCCAACCAATCAACGAGAATAATGGATTATTGAAAAGGTGTTTCGCTTTCAGTTTGAAATTCTCAGTAGTAAAAATCTAAAACTCAGTGAAAAATTAAATTTACTAGCTTCGAACTTCGTAGTAACGATAATACTTACAGAGCTTCGGAAAGAATCCCCAAATTTTTATTGAAAAATAGTAAGCATTAAGGTTTTAATTATGTCACGAATAGGGCATGCTTTTTTTTTGTCATCCAGCGTTTGTCACTTTTGATTTTTGCCGATTTTTCGGTGCTATTTGGTTGACAATAATTTTCTAACTGATGCAAGTCCATAATTGAGCGGTTGCTCAATGGATGAGGGCCTTACACATTGAGTGTGGATAAAAGCTAAGCTCACGAATCTGTACATGCCAAATGAGTTATCTTTTTTTCCGTGTCCGTGATGATAACAGTCTCGCTAACATTTAGTTATCATTAGAGAAACGTAAGTTGAACAGTTTTATCAAAAGATGCATTTGACACAGTGATACAAAAAGTGGACTAAACCAGATTATTATTAAGTATAACTTTTTTATTGTGGCTTGATATTTTCTCTTTTTTAATGTACAGATTAAATCACTCGTTGACTATTGGCAATATAGAAAACTCTTTTTCTTGATGAAATTAACTTCCAATATTGATTACATGTACAACACGATTGGAAAAAGTCAACTAATTAAATCAACCTACGTATAAAAAAAATACTATTTGAATGTTTTATAAAATATAGTGAAACAATTTTCAACACTCTTGTAATTTGAGCAGAAAAAGTTGGGTCATTACATGAAAATTACAAAAGTTTAGGGAAATAACATATAATATATTGTTTAGAAATCATTAAACTTAAAATTACTGTTACTACTACGACTGTCAATGAATGTAGGGAAACGTACATATCTCGTGAAACTACATCTTATACACAGAAAATTGTCTTGACATAACTATTAAAATAAACCCAAATAATTCTAGATATGGAAGTAATTTAGTGATTAAAGAAAGACACCTACATTTACTGAAGTGTACGTTTGAAGGATAGTTTGGCAACAATGTAGTATTAACAGATTTCAAATAAAATCTTGAATTGAAACTGACTGGATGACCGCATACTTTTCTAATGAATTATATAAATTTTAATTAGATTTTTAAAAAAATTCAACAACATTTATTTTGAACACTAATGTTACAAATGAATGTTTTTGTTTCCACGATGTAAATAATAAAAATTCTAAAACAATGTTAAGTTTTTATTGTATCTAGGGAAGGAAAGTAAGAAATTATAATTTATATGTCGAATCAGTAAATAACTGTTAACCATTTTCATATCTATTATTTACATTCCAATCAAGATTAAGTGAAGGAATTAAAAACAATCTGAATACTTTTATTAAGATATTGCACTTTTGTTTTACAATAAACAATAATGGTATAAGAGATATATCTAGTGAAACATAAATTCCTATTCAATATTGAGTATGGCAGTTTGGAAAATATTGAAACCCAATACCATGTGCCTTCATTGTACAACTAACACCAAAATTTTATTCGACCCAGACATAATAATAACTAAATACACAACTTAAAACTCGGTAATTTTTAATAATTCTTAGAACTATAGTAAATTTTATTTAACAATAAGAAATAATACTTTATAAAAACTCATTAATTTGACTATGCGTTAATAGTCTTGGGTATTATATATATATGGACGACCTTTGAGCGACGCTAAACTGTCTTTGAGAACGTCCACCTACTTGTGTTAAATTAGGGTTATAAACCAGTATGAAGAATTAGAATTATGATTTACAGTTGATGGTTAAGGTGTTAGAAACTAGATTTAGGATTTTCATCACGAACTGACATCAGCTATAAGGCCACAACGCCATTTAGCCAATTGGATGAGTGCATTCCACGCCAAAATCCGAGACCTGTTATCCTAAATCTGATTGACTCGTCCATAAATTATAGTCTCGCCATATATATATATATATATATATATATATATATATATATATATATATATCACAAAAAACTAGTGCAATGAACTAGACATCACTGCAACGATTGATTAACGAGTAAATTTGCAAAGTTTTCGTAGTGCTGATTAAATTATGCAGATCAAGTTGCAATATGGCCACTAGTCTAAATGATTTGATATTGTCTGCACTGTTTTCTTGTTAGGAAGATGGAGAGAGTCCGGAGGAAATCCTATTTAACATAGGTTGTGCGTTATTTAGGACTCATTAGCTTAATAATAACGTTTATGATTTTAGAATTGAATAGCGAAGTCTTAAATCCTATAGGAATTACCAGTTTCCTTAAGATTGCAGGCATGCCTAAACGAACAGTAACAATTAAAATATTTGTTCTAAAACATCTGAATAACTTAATGATACATTTCAGTGAACTATGATTAACGGTTAGAAAATATATTATCTTAGACTAAACTGCATGGAATGTATACTATGAACGCATTATTTTCTTCATTGAATCACATTATTATGAAACACGTTTAGAAATATGTTAAGAGAGTACAACAACTTGACTGAAGTCTTGAAGATATAACATATACAAAATTATACTGGTTTAATCGACAATGTTTGTTACATTTTTGCACTGATTTGATTTAGTTTGCACAATATACATACAAACAATAATTACATTTCAATGAATGCTGTTAAAGCTAAAAACAGAACTTATAATGATATCTTGAAATGCAAAATATGCAATCATATAACAAGATTACACAAAACTGTTTTAGTTTTTATCAATTCTGTAGTACAGGTATTAAAAGTAAATAAATCATAGTTTTATGTAGAGGTTGTGAAATCACACTACCTTACACATCAGAATTCCATATTATATCAATGAAATATTAGGTCATTCTTTTGATAGACCATAGATAACGATAACTGAAATTTCCAAACAAAAAAAACAAGGTTGAATTTTCTTCACGTAGAGTAAAAACATTTTACTGATATATAAAATTGCGGAAGTTACGAAATTTGGACTGAGAAAAGAGATCGTGTTACAAAAAATATTAACAAAGAATTTAACCGTGTTTTTGGAAATTATTCTTCAAAATGTAATCAGAGTGTAAATGGAGACAATATCAAGTCATCTGTTCAAGGAGTCAATATACTAACAACAATTAGTCACATTCAAAAGCATTCACATCACTCAGTAATTGATTTGAACAATCTCAACATTCTCCTATTTCATGAATTTGTTCATCTCTGTACAATTATTACTACAGTTAAAATTTAGGAAACATGACAAACGATTTTCTAGTGAAAATATTAGTACAATTAGATAGTGAAAATTATATCAGTTAGTATTAATAAGGCTATGAACGACTATCCCTAAATGAGAACATAAATAAAAATAATAAATATGAAAAATAATCTTTGAGTTATGCAAGGTAATGAACTTTACGTTCTTTTATTAACAAAGGTAGACAAAATCAGAAACAGTAAATAAACAACAACAAAGTTGTTCATTATCAAAGTATATGTTTGTTTAACAACCGACAGTTACTCTTTATATTAGTCTAGTAAATAGGTAGAAAACTGTATAATTTAAAAGTAATTGGGAATAGAAAATAATCGCATACATTCTTACAGTTGTACATATATTGTATTGATACAATCAACGAATATTTTACATACATATTGTAAACATTTTATTTGTTGCTAAAAAAGACCTATCCATTGTACAAAATATAGCAGGTGTGAAAAACATTTTTGACAGTAATGCAGCTAATTATAAAAAATAACTTAGTATGTCCTAATAATAGTAAGATACTTTTACAATTTCAGAAAACATCTTCCAAAAATGTTGCTTTAGGAAGAGTACTTAAACATCTACAAGAAACCAATGCAAAGCTAAAATTATCATAATTTTTTCTATGTAACGGCTTATGCCGTTAGTTGTTTGTCCAAATCAAATTAGGTAGAATAGATTCGAGCTTACCACCCAATGACTTAAAACCCAGTATTTTTTACGTATGAAAAGGAAGAAATATGAAATTTGACAGTGGACATAAATAAAATCAAATCTATATTCACGTATAACAGAAAAACCTACGGTTAAAATGACACTGCACAACGAAATTGAATAACGAAGTATAAAAACAATGAATTACAAATATAAATCATATACAGTGTAACAAACAATCAATAAGAATTTACGGTTGGAGCTTTAAAAAAAACAAGAAACACTAGGCAGAAATTTTTAAACTCATTATCAGAATACCAAGTTGTGAGAATGAATGAATTCAGACTTATATTGAATATAATGGTATTAGATGGACTTACTAATCATTAAGTCGAATACAGGAAAGATCGTACTGTGTAAAATCTTTGTAAAAATACAGTCTAACTTAATAAATGAATGGTAACTAATATGCCAACTTTGAATTTCCTTTTCTACACTTCAGAATTTACTAGACAAGAAAAAAATTTAATTAAATTTTTCTATATTTCATCTCGAAAACTTTTAAGATAGATAACACAGCTGGAGTGCACGTTTATAAATGTAAAAGTTGATCTCATAATACACGTTCAATTTTACTTATCAATAATGAAAGTAAATGACATGATTGCGATGCAAAAAAGAAAGAAAAAAAACAACAACAGACAATTGCAATCTAACTACTACATCAGGATAATAAAACAAAGTGTAACAGATTACAGACGTTACTGTTGTTAGTATTCATTAAACAGTAACAAACTTGATTGCTAATTTTCTTACTGATTAAAATCTTTTCTTTCTTTTTAAATAAAATTACACCATATTACATTTTAAAAAAAAATAAATTTGAGAGAAAAGTTAAATATTTACTTCACTGTTATTTCATTACACATTTTGTGAATAACAATTGTGTGAGTTATAAAACAAAGTGAAATACGAATTATTGATGATATACATATATTATTGATAGAAGTATCTTTATGGTAATTAAAACTAGTTGTCTTTTTATAGATGATCATGATTTGATGATTAAATGTTAATTTTCATTACATAGAAACTATGTAGAATTTGTCAGTTATTTATGTAGATTAAGTTCAACTTTGAGTTATAATTAATTGGTAATTTACTTATACGTTGAAACGTATTGTTTGTATGATATTCATTATATCACTATTTAGTTGCTGAAATTTATGAAATTCTAGTTGATAATTCAAACTATCGGTCTATTATATGTGAAAATTGTATTGAAATAATCTCAGTTTTTTCAATCGCTGAGATTATTTCAAATATAATTTTCACATATAATGACTTCACTTTAAACGGCGACCAATTTCTGTCAAACTATACGTTCTAATCTTGACGAATATTCGTATATCGGTTCATTAGTTAAAATCTAATTGATAAATTCAATAATGTAAATATTATATCAAAAAAGAACTAAGTATTATCAATATTAAAAGATAAACTTTCAATATATCAAAATATATTATATCCATAATAAAATAAATGGATAATCAGACAAAGAGATTTTAATTTTAAAAACAATAATAAGAATAACAACTAGAACAATACAAATGTATTCAGAGAATAGTCAATGTTTGTTTTGTAATTTTATATTTTTTATACGTGTATCAGACAGAACAACAATATACCCGTTTTAATAGGTATTAGTAATTTTTTTTTTAAAATAACAATAGTAATGACGTCTTGATCAGTTTTGAATTAAAATAATAATACACTTATGATCAGAATAATGAAGAAGTTATAGTAGGGAAAAATAAAAAGGCTAATTGACTTCAACAACAAAAAAAAGAATATCCTAGTGATAATAATCATCATAATAAATAACTTCAAATGAATGAACTATTTAGAAATATCAAAATATTATGTAAATAGAGAAGGAAACACAACAGGTGAAATGTTCAATTACAATTATTCAAATGATAATAGTTATTAATAAATAAATAATAAATATTATAATTGAAAATAAGATATTTGAACTTATTTTAAACATTGTGTCAAAGGAAAAGAAAAAGAACAAGGGAGGGAATAGTGGAAGTATGAAAATATCATCAGGTAGAACATATTATAAACGGTATTTATAGACAGAAACAGAAAGCTAAGAATAAATATGATCATATTCGATGGTAAACATATGGATAATTATACACATGATTATATATATTATATATATATATATATACATCTAATTAGTAGTGTAATTCGCGGTTTAGATACTAGTAATATAGTATTCGAAAAAAAACTTCATGCTAAATATCTGTGGTATGATTAGTTCATATAAATAGTATTAAACATTTGTATTTAAAAGATGATAAAAGATCATTACAACGACACTTTGTATTAATTATGTAAATCCGTGCTATATGATATGAAAATAAAGCATTCAGTCTTAAAATAACACGTATTAAAAAGTATGTCTAGTTAATCTAATCGTTTTATGTTACAGAAAATTTATATTAGATCAAACTATAATAAAACAATAAGTGATTGTCATGAAATTCTACAATGAACTACATATACTGAAACAAATAATCTTTTAATTACAAAGAGTTTATCATAATTCCCATTCAACATCATCAGTTCATATTTGATCATGTACATCTGTATATGTCAAGCCTTATAAGTCGAAATTATTTTAACGAAAGCATAATTCACTAAATTCATGTACTCAAAACAATGAAACAAATTAAATAAAAAGAATACTAGTCATCTATGCTTCCCACTATGCATAATATGATGAAGTAATTAATTCAGTGATAATATAAAAATCCTCAAATATGCATAAAAACCGCAATATGAACTGTAACCAGTTCGTTTACTTTGCTTTCTCCAGTGAAAAATAGGCTCTTCTTTTTTCTAGACGACCAATAGAATTCTCCTACTATGATGGGAGGGAATAACTAGCTTAACTTAGAAACGTAATAATAAATATTGCACTGTTTGATTAAATAGTGCTAATCACATTTTAAAAATACTTTGTTAGCTGACAAATTTTATTAACATACGAGTTGAAATATACTCATGGAAAAAGATCCTTGTAAAAGAAAATTACGTCTGAGTACAAAAGCAGATATTAGGCGTCAAATTTATTTAATGGCCACAACTCAATCGAAAATTCCGTAACAAGAAGGCGGAAAATCAGTCTGAACGTTGCATTTTCGGTTTATTTGTGTCAGGGATGAAATTTATGAATTGACAGGGCACTTGTAGAACCATAAAGTGGTGAGGAAATGAAACAGAATACAAAGAATACTGAAGACAAAAGCTATTACCATTTGGTAAAACACTTTTTTACCTAAAATCAATAAATACTTCAGATTTCCTTATATCACAATTGAAGTAAATGTAACTCCGGAAACACCACTTGCAAATGATCTTCATAGATTGTTAAACTAAAGTAAACAATTTGTTCTATGGTAAAAAAAAGTTCATAGAACATAATGAAATTGACAAAAAACTGTTCTCCAACCATAAATGTTTTATAAATTTTTAAGCTACTTATAAGTCATATAACACAAAATGCAAAAAAAGCAAAACTACCTGATGATTGCTCTTCTGATATCACCAATTGTGTGAAAATTGTTTAGACGGATCACAAATCTGAAACAGTAAAAGATCAAGTTTCAAGAACATTTTGTATCTAAGTTGCAAGTGTGTCAGCTAGAGCTAGCTAATCGTCTCTACTCCTTCTTGATGATGCCATCTCTAGATGTTCTTGGAGCATAGTTCGACAAAGCCAGGTTAAAACGAAACAAGGACAAAAATAGTTAGTTTATGACATTTGATTTTGAGTAAAAATCTTCTGAATTATCATTTGTTGATAAAGGTCTCGTAGGTCATCCAAGCCGATCCGATTGAGACAATATTAGGAACACGTCATAGCATAATGACTGACGACCCCGCTATATGCTGTTTTGTATTCTACATAAACAGATAAAATATACCGACACCATGTTCTTATTTGAGCGACATCTCTCAGTGTTCTCAGCCGAGGAAAATGATAGTATTCATTTGAGTTATCTTAAAAATTACATATTTTTAACTCAGTGAACTGTCAAAGTTATATGGTTATATAACACTGATCTTTTTTATGCAGATGAGCTAAGTCATTAGACGCGAACTTCCATCGATTAATTTAATTGCTTTTTTGTTGACCTTCAGATAATTCAGTACTATGTTTACCAATTAACATGATTAAGTACATCATTTGGCTCGTGGTTACCAAGCTAGAAGGAACTAAAAGTAAGACATAAGTATCTATGCAAAGAAAACTAATGGTGAAATAAAAAATGAACTGTTCTGCAGATATTCTTAGAGAGCCATACATGTTTAGGTGAACGATTACGTTTTTATTTTATTTTATTTAAACACATAAACATTGACACAAGGAGGCACCAAATGTTTATGAGACACATAAATCATTCAATTTGTGTGAAGGCTGGAATACTGTCCGGATGCCCAAACCGAAGCAGGTGGTTTTTTTAAGGGACCATTCTCCGAGTCTTTGACCTAAAAGTCTAGTGCACAAGGCGGTGGAGCAACTTTAGGGGATGCAATCCCATGGTAGCCGGTGACCAACAATTGGTTCATACTCCATTTGTTCCCACACGATACTGGAGTCCACGTGCACCAATGGTTTGGAATCAGGGTTTTCCAACTCCCCTAGGTGAACTCTCCGTATCCATCAACACGGTTAAAGCGCAGAAAATTCGCTTTCCACCCTCTCAATTCCGTAAACAACACTCCCGCCATGAGAAGGCAGTGAGTAGGACTTCCCTGACGGTGAATGTATACGCGTGGCCATGTGAGAGCATTTCGAGAGGGAGAGCTGACTCTTCCCAAACACGGCCGTATCAGGGCATTCATGAATCAACCTGAATTGGTCTACAAATTACTATTTGAATTGATATTTTGTAGCTTTATAGACTGCTGTTGTGCCTTGGTCTGATCATACAAAAAACATCTCAATGGTAGAAGTGTGCCACAGTATACTAATACCTGTAGTAAAAAACATTAGTTCAAAGAAAGGTAATTCGTATGATTTTGAAGTATAGATTAACCAAGTGGTCATTTATTCTTTCATGTTTCACACATAAGTCTTATATCTAAAAAGTTATTTGTTATTTAAATACGACAAGATAAGTAATAAACGATGGATTTGGCTTATATAAGCTAATTGGAATACAAGCTTAGTATTCAATCAATTTCATAAAACTAAGTTTATTTACAAAAATCAATACCATTTTCCACATGAAGCATACTGTCAGATACTCAAGCGTTTGCTAATAACTATTCGTATGAAATCTGGTTTCATACATTCCAGTTCGGGGTACAAGTATCTTTCATGAAAGCGTTGAAATTAATTTAAGACCAAAACAATCAAATAATAAATGAAATAGAGCAAAGAGTAGATTTTACATATAACTTTCAAAGATCCAATCAAAATTATTCTACTAGACGTTATTAATGATACTAAATGTTACTGACACAACTTATTAGTACTTTTATATAGCATACAATAAATGGTTTACCTCGATCCATCAGGTAATCGGATCTGAATTTGTGTTACCGGTTTGGTATCGTCTACTGTAACACCAGGTTCATGGTTTTCACTGATATTGACTTTAGTTGGAACGCTTGAGACTAAGTGAGGAAGCGGAGAACCAAGCATTTGTCCTACGCCAGAAAAAGGTATGATCTTAGGAGCAGAAGGAGCCTGCCACCCTTCATGGTGATGATCTTCGAGCATAACATTAACCATACTTCCACCAGCAGATTTTAAAAGTTCCTACAGGTAATAGAGTTTTCCATAATCAACTAGAGAACAACATTCAGTTACACTTATGTACCTAATTAAAGAGTTTACATGTAAGGTGATCACATATTTAGTAAATGTTATACAAACTACTGAACAACCATCAAATCAACAATAATTAAATTGTACCCTGAAAACCATAATTGGTTTATCCCAACTTTAGACCGAACAGTTCGGCTAAGTTGTTACAATTGGTATTGTAACACACCTACTTGATTTATTATAAACATTGTATAGGTAGATTATTCTAATCTTCCCATTTATTCTGTCAGCCAAATATTTGCCCTAACAGTTACTCAGGTGTAACCTTGATCGTATTTCATGCGTGTGTATGGTAGCACCTATTTATCAATCCGCTTCCTGTATTTCTTGCATGACTTATAAAAACAGAGTCACCTTAATATTCTGAGTGGGTATATTACCAAACTCCAATGCTACACACAACCACTGCATCTTTTGTTGCTTGTCTACAGCTCAATATTAGGACGTTTGAAATACAAGATCTTCAAATACCTTTGTTCCTGACTTTTTACATCTTATTTGTTATAAACGGGATATATTGACGGAATATACACGAAGTTACGCGGGATATACATTTCATTGGTATCATTATCATCCGTGCATATTGGAGTCACTCAACAGACACTAAAAATATCGACGCAATCAAAGAATATATGTATATATTTGTAATTTTCTAGATAAGAATTATTTCCCACATAAATGACGCCAAGATTATGAACTATTAAAGTTAGAGTTTGGGAGAAGAGTTGAATGACATAACTATCGTTGCCTTACGCTGTTTTATATCCTTATATGTATGGAGTTTTGCTATATTTCGATGTATACTAAAACGTCGTCGCGTTTAAGAACACGTATTTGACAAAGGAGGACGTATGCACGAAACTAATGCAAGCTTTTTTCGAAAACTATTGAGTCGGTAAGTCAAACGTAAAGTAAAACCTGGGACATGTGTATACCGGTCCAAGTTACCATACACTATTAGCACAGTAGGATGAAATTGTTAGGGCAAATCTCAAAGTAGTAAGGGTAGAAACAGTATTAATGGTAGTAGAAGAGATTATTATACAAGATATAATTCGAGAAAATATAATTTTATGAAGAATTTACAAACGTGGGACTTAAGATAAGGCAAAGAGTGAATACGCCTGCGCCACTGCGAGTGATTTTGAGCTATATCGCCCAAAGTCTCTAATCACCGGTTACGATTACTGCACAGACCCCTCGACCAGGTAATCTGCACCTACCCACATGACTCAAACCAAGAGCTAGCGTAGTCATGGAATGATCACATGTTTTGGTTTATCCGATCCTACGTTTCTCCCAACCTATTCTTACATCAGCCATCAATGTGTGTTGAAGTAGTCGGTGAATGGTAGTACATCATATAAGTCACAACCATCTCAGTTGATCAAGATTTATTACTTCATCAACTGATTTGTTATACTTATCTAGCACTCTGAATCTAACATCAGAATCGCTAACTTGATGGTCCCAAAATACACGAGAATTCCTTTGAAGACACCTATGGTCAAATGCTAGTAACCTACAAATATGCTGTTTTCAAAGGGGTCTATTCGTTTCAGCTAAATACTGAGAGCATTTCTCAAGAAATTTCATTATCAACATTTGTAGTCAACATATTAAGGAAATATAACTACTTAAATTCTTCTCACATTACTATGTTGCTAGATAATGACAAAGAAAGATATTCTACTTTCAGATTTCTACAATCCCGATGTTAATACAAAAGTATGAAATTTCATCCAACGTCAAATAATAAACATGATAAAAGGAAAAGACGAGTAATCCTAACAAAAGACACTAACTTCAGGGATTTGACCATTCTGTATTGCATTCAAAAATTCAGAAGCATCTGGATCAGTATATGAACGTAACGGCCCACTGTCTAAACTAAAACCGTCACGCCACATTTTTACAACAACGTTTTTTTCAGAGACATCGTTTGTACTGGAACCGCTCGCAGTATTTGCCTCGACCTGGAGGGGAGCACTAAGATCATCACCAAGCCTGAACAAGAGATAAATGAACACATTTGTACGTGATTATTGCATTCTTATCTTTCAAAAAGCGCTTAAACAACAACAGCTTAAACGACATTTAATAAACATGGACATCGCAAACTGAAGAATACAAGCGAACAGTCGCGGCAAATATAACCAAAAGGACTAGTTACCATGTACGAATTCCATGACTGAGAGTTGGAAAGCACAAATATGAACAAAATAATCAGTCATGCATACAAAAAGTAGGACCTAGAAAAACGTGTACAAGTCTGATTCTCCACACCTCATATCACCGCACAGAGAGAAAAGTAATAAAACGAAAGGTCAATAAGCGGAAATGATAGTATTTACAGCAGTGGGACACTAAACATAAGAGATGTAGTTCAAAAGGGACTAATGGATCGAAGAATGAAGTTTAAAAAGTAACACTGCGGGCGAACTTTATAAAACGGATAACAAATACAATCGTCTCGGCGTTAATAAATATAAACCCTATCACTTGATGTCCAACGACAGATTACGAATATCACTAGGTTCTACACCAGAAAGCTAAAATCTCTCAATATAACATAAAACGGAAGGCAGTAATCTCATGGGCTGATAACATCTTACTGATAACACCTATTAAATTGTTCTTACCTCGAGATGTGAGAAGCAACAAGAACTTCGGAATAGTACTAAAGCCATATTAACAAATACGACAGAATCTGTCAACAGGTATGTAATGAATAGATATCTCAAATTCGAAAACCACATAGCTCATGATCCTAAAGTCACTCAAAAGGATTAACAAACATAAGCCTTCAATATGGTCACAATAAATTGCTTCAGCTAAGGATTTTCGAGATCAGTAGATGGCGGTTAAATATTGTTTTCCTGTTAATTAGATCAGCAAGATTGATAATAATTTCAATGTAGGCGGAAGACTGGCTTTTAATCGCTTTAACAGTGTGCGTAATAATAAATTAAGATTGCTTTTAAGTAGAAGCTATATTTATTTCGAACCACATATGAGAAAATCTCACTATCCCTAATCTGAATTACAGTTTTCATGTTTTATTGATTTATTTAAACACAGGAACATTGTTACAAATGATACTGAAATATATATATGCACACAATAAAAATGGAATTAAGAAAAGATAGAGGAGATGTGAGTAGATGAATAGAAAACTAATGGTAATAATTAACAACAATAATAATGAAAATAGTAATAAGTGGTAATCAGAGAAGCAGTTTAGTCAAAGACAAAACAACCAGGAGGAACCATTTCAGTTGAAAAAATTCTCTCACCTACATGAAATAAAAGAGAGTAGAGGTAGAATCGCTACCAGCTTATATTCTGAGCCGTATCTGACAACGTCTCAAGACACTGTATCACCAAGAGTCTCAAAACCGGAGATGTGGAGGAATGACAGATCATAGCACCGTATAGGTCTCCTTCATACAAGGACACCATGTCGTGCACTAACCACCTCTTCGCTTCTCCCAACCAATCCCAACGTCGGCAAATAATCCACGATGTGGAATTCGTAGGGCATATCCAAGTCACCGAAGTCGGTGTTTCAAAGTAACACCAATCAAACTATCGTCCGTGTGCCCAAACATATGATGCCGAACCTCCGCATTACTAACATGTTGTTGCCACTGAATGTCAGCAATCCTTCGTAGACGACGACGATCAGACACAGAAAGTCATCCGATATCCTCAACCCGAAGAGGCCAGGTTTCACAAGCATAAAGTAAAAAAGCTTTCACCGACGCGTCGCAGACTCGACCTTTCAAAACCAGACTATCATTATGAAAGCGCCAAAGATGGACCAGATTGGTATGAGCCGCGCTGGCCTTCACAATACGTGGATTGATCTTATCACTTACGACTCCACCGGCATTTATACAGCTACCCAGATATATGAACTTCTCGACTACTTCTATCTGCTCACTACCAAGAGTGAGTGTTAGTTCAGGGTCCTGCAAGTCCTTTGAAAGTACTTTGCACTTGGGAGGTACAAAACGCCTGACATACCTACGGATTACAAAATGACTAGGTGTGGATTGCATGGCTTGGGTATCATTGCACAGTAAGACAACGTCGTCCGTATACTCCAGGTACGAAAATCATTCTGCAGCACAACCTACTTCGACCAGACCTATTTCCAAAATATCATCGATGGCAAAGTTGAAGAGGAATGATGAGATTGGACAACCCTTCTTAATCTTACTGCCTAAATAAAACAATAGAGAGAGGTGGGTATATGCCCACACACTCCCTGAGGTGTTAGTGTATAGGGTTTTTCAAGATGTTAATAAACATCTCAGACATACCCTTCTTCAATTGACAATCCTAGAGAAAAGTCCTGACCAACAAATCGAAGGCCGCCCTAAAGTCAAGAAATGCTATGATTGCTAGCCTGTGACAAGTATGATGGTGGTCTAACGTTTGGTGGAGGGTGAAGATATGACCGATAAATCCTCGACAAAGACGAAAATCCGCCTGCTCCTCGTGAGTCGATTTTTTCTCGGTTTTGAACAATCTACAAACCATGACGGAAGTCAACAGTTTAGACAAACCCGGAAAAAGTTACCCCCCGATAGTTAATGCAGAAACAATGTGAACCCTTTTCAAGCATAAGAACAACTATCGACTAATTTTACGACGTTCAAACACTCTCGAATTACCAGAAATTTGAAAACAACTCAGCCAGTCACCTAATTAGGTCGTCACCATCTTTAAAAAGGGCTGCAGGATAGTTATATGGGCCTGGTAACTTGTGGAGTTGCTTGTGCACTTCTACCTCTTTAGGTGGATCAGTCGTCACCGACCATAGAAGACAGGACAGCCTGATCGATGTCACCAGAGTAACATACTCCTTGAACTGTGCCTCGAACAACTTTGTCCATCGTTCAAGATGCCAGTCGGTGTCATTGGTTGGCATCCCGTCAGCTTCACAGATTGTTTCACTCACACAAGACTCTTTGCAGCCAGTGACTCGGATGAGTCGAAGGAGCTTCCAGCAGTAACCAGATCCAGTCGCTGTTTCAAACTCGTTAGCACGCTTCAACCTCCAGACTTTTTGGTCCTTACACAAGCTTTGCGTATTTCAATCGCGTAACAATCCACGGCTATCGTTGGGTTCACAGTTACCCGGAGTAAGCCGACGTGCCTCAATGAGTTGTAAGGAGCCCGTAGAAACCCAATGCTTATAAGCGGGACGTTTCGCGTATCCGCGAGCGACTTTACTCTCCATTTTCATGGCGTAATGCAAACGTAGTCAGTACTCATCCGTGAATTCCGGTGGGTCGATAGCAAAAGAATATACAGTCATTTCGCTTACACCGATCCGTTGAGTACAATGAATTTGTTGGTTATTGAAACATAAGATAAGATTAGCGCAAACAAGAGCATGATCAGAATTCAGAAAAGTACTCCAAAAGGAGCGGCAATCAATGAAGACAACCAAACGACTATCCTCTGCGCCTAGATGCTCGACATCCACTTCAAGTCTCCGACTAGTACTATAATATCTGCTGAACGCCCTTAACCGGTGGTAAAACTTATCCTTGACAGCATTTGACTACAATCTGTCAAAGCGTAGGCGAAGATAACGAGAAGACATCGTTTCCCATAACAATCTTTTCTCACTTTGGTTGAGTTTTCCAATCCAATAGCGTATAACCAACTGTTAATAGGGATCTAATGGATTTGTGCTGCCTCAGCCCTAGCGCTAAGTGCGACATCAACGCCAGCAAAACTAGACGAAGATATCACAGTGCCAGATAAACGCACGTGAAACAAGCTTTTCCAAGCGACAAATGGAGAGCGAATTTGTAGTACTTTACTAGATTCTTGAGTGCGGTTCTCAGACAAACAATAGACATCGACGTTAAAACTTTCTAAAGACATAGTCAACCCTATCTGCAGTTCGAACTGCATTAGTGTGGGAACGTTGAGGGGACCCATTTTGAATGGTGTACGTGGTTTCCAAAAGGCTGGTTCATAGTTCATTCAATCAGTGACTTAAGATCGTTTCAATAAAACGGGATTTCCAACATAGGCGAGCTGCTGTATGAGCTGAAAAATAAGTGAATTCACGAAGTGGAAATAGGAAGGAACAGACAAGTGATGCAATATAAAAGAAGGACGAACGTAACCGAATAGTTATGAGTATAATTTATGAGAATGAGGATTGACGCAAGCCTTATTTATTCTAGTTGAGTTATTATTATACTTGTGTGAGGGTTGGGATATTACCCGAAGGCCCAAATTGGAACATGGGATCTTCTCGGGGGACACACACCGAGCCCTTGACCTAGAGAGCTAACCCACAAGGCAGTAGAATAACGTTAGGAAACACGTTTCTATGGTATCCAATGACCAAAACAGGTTCAAACGCCTTTTGTTTCATCGGGAAACTAGATCGCATGTGCACCATTAGTTTGAAATTAGGGATTCCTAAATTCGTCAGGTGGAACTTTCGTACCCGTCAATGAGGTTTAAGCCCCGGATATTCGCTTATTGTCCTCTTTATTTCGTAAAATAGCACTCCGGGGACGAGAAGATAGTGAGTAGGACTTCCCAGGCAGCGGCATATGAGAGGATGTCGAGAAGGAATAGCGGATTTTCCCCACCCTCAAACTTAGCAGGGAATTCGGGGACCGATTCTGTGTGACACTTATTTGATCTCAACATTGTTAGACGTATTCTCCATAACTTGTGCTCTTTCGTTAAAACTGGAATGATGACTAAAAAACATTATGAATCTTCGGGTTGGATTATTGATTGTTATTGATTCTTAGTTGAAAACCAGATAACTTTTAAATTGATCTCATGTACCATGTGTGATCTTAATAAACAACGTTTTTAAATGAGGAAAAACAGCGGGTAACTTATGCAGTTCCCTTTGTAATCAAGTAAACGAATTTAAGCTTATGATCATCCCAGTGTAGGAGCTAATAACATTGATCAGTTGTCTTACCATCCTTATAACTGGAGATGAAGCGATATAGTTGTCCACACTGTGGTAAATGGGAAGCATTTTAGGCCCCTGATCGAATACCTTTGTCATGCTTTTAGACCAGTGATTCACAATTTACTTTATTCATGCTGATTTGAAAAGCGTAGAATAAACATATACTATATTGTTGCTCCATTGGGAGTAACAGGCGTAAGTAAGTAATATTGTTGTAAGGATTTGGAGTTTACCGTTGTTAATTTGGCATACTGAATCGAGCATTTTTTAACAGCTTATGTACCTACTAAAACAGGTGACTCAATGTTGCCTGAATTCATTTGTTTTGATAGCAACTAGTAATACACATCACAATTCAGACTCATCGTTAAAAATATCAATACCGTAGTGTAAGTATAGACACTGCATGAAATGAAAATGAGCCAAATAAGTGAGAAAATTAAGAAAATCTAACATCAGAAGAAAATTAATTGACTATGATATTGCGCATAATTTTTGTCCGAAATTTCTCTTACTTGTAGCCGATTCCACTAAAAGGCGATTGCTTTTTTGATTTACTTTTGTATTCATTGTATTGGTGTGTATCCAACACTTCTGCTCCTTTACCTCTAGCAGCTTGAAAAAGATTACGGATGAAAACGTCGGGAGTTTGGGAAGGGTCATGAGTTCTCTTATTACCATCACGTCTTGGAGGACCAAGGACTTGTTGGCCACCACCCCCAGTCTCCGAACCGCCAACATAAAATGCCTGTCCCTTATCTGATTCATCATCACTAAACAAAGAAAAATGGAATAGCGTTATCATTACGCAATTATTTTGTTTTGACAAATGGAAACGATTAACACGAACCCAACGACAATCTGTGCTGTAAAAGGTTGATACTAAATGAGTCCGCAAACTAGTGGAAAGGAGTTCGATTCTGGGACAAAATTGTAAGCAAACACGTGTCATATGACTAACACTCAGGATTGCTACATCATGATAATCAGTAAAAACAAACTTGTGGACCCCAGAAGAAAGCTTGTTTTTTGATGACATAAGTTAGATGTCCTTGATAAAAAAGGGTTAACTGAAACGAATTAATGACCATTTTACAAACTTATTTGGTCGGTATACAAGAAGACCTATCTAGTTTTATGTAAAGGCCGAAACATTCATCCCACCAAGTAGCACTTTATAAACAAAATAACAAAGCGGAACTGTAATTGGCCTATCGTTTCAATTTAATGATACAATTAATAAAGTCGACGAATGTGGTACTTATTTAACTTCTTTACAGCATTTAACTACCAAACTTTAATACCACAGGACAACAAGGGAGCATTTCCAAGTGACAGCAGAAGCGAAACAATTTTCATGAGCGAAAATTAATAAGTACCTCCAAATACGTTTGTACAGCTGACTGTCAAGAATAAAGAAAAAAGGTACAGATTTGTGCTTCAAAACACGGGACAAGAAAAAGAACTTAACAAACAAGGTTAGTAAAAATAACAAGGTAAAGCTAAGCAGTACAAATAAACATGTAGTAGGATCTAAAACAAAGAGGGAATCCCCTTACGCTATTCAAACCGATTAAGACCAATGTCATACAAAGCCTGTGTTTCTCGATTTATTTTCATTTATTATTTATTTAAACACAAACAGTGGTACAAGGAGGCACTAAATATATATGCTCCACATAAATCATTCGATTTTTGTGAGGGCTGGGATATTGCCCGGGTGCCCAAATCGATAGTTTTACTCAGCCAACAGACCATTCTTCTAAGCTGCTTGGATCAACAGTAAACTAGGAGCCAACTGCCTCAAGTCTTCCACCTACCTACTCGTATATCACTCAGCATCATAGGCTATTTGGATCGTAGTAAATAATTCATTTTATCCAACAACCTAATATTAATAGACGTAGTCAGATGTCATGAATGATGCAAGTCCTACGTAGTTAGGCTGACCCTTTTTATCCACGGTGATATTTGGTTGACTTATGAATAATTACGGTTAAAAAGAAATTCCCGGATAAATTACACGGTCAAAGGACTCAGCTACTTCATTTACTATTTTATGACGATGTAGAATTATGAATTATCTATTGTTTCAGTGATACGAAACCTTTGCCAAAATCTTGAAGATTTTTACAATGTTAAGCAAACCACATATTTTGATAGCATCTGTGTGCAACTGCATCAGCACATACTTTACTAACAATATAAATTGACTAGTTTCTTTTGTCATACACTGTGTTGACAAGGTCACTTACCATCCTCATACAAGAAAACGAACTAGCGAGTGTGCTTGTACTTCAGAATCACGTGGAAAGAAATATGGTCGATACATTCATAACTAAGCCATAAACTAGCTGATTTCTAGCTCTTATCAGATGTTGACTGGTTCGACGACTCTCCGATATTAAAATACAGCCTAATACCTTTAGTTACTTTAACCAGTTATTTCTTACTTTCAGAGCAAGCAGGCAAATGTTGCTAAAAACTTCAACGTTAGTAAACCATAGCTTAACTGAATATGAGCTATCGACGTCAACGACTTATTGGTTCAGTGAAAAAAAAGACCATAGCTACAACAAATACACAAGGAGCAGTAGACTCGCAGTTAGCTTAGACTGTAATATTTTGACATTTCACTTGAGATCCGCAGAAAAGTACAGATGGGCACTGGGTAATATCCCAACCCTCACACAAGTATAATAATAACTTCAACTAGAATAAATAAGGCTTGCGTCAATCCTCATTCTCACAAATTATACTCATAACTATTCGGTTACGTTCGTCCTTCTTTTATATTGGCATCACTTGTCTGTTCCTTCCTATTTCCACTTCGTGAATTCATTTATTTTTCAGCTCATACAGCAGCTCGCCTATGTTGGAAATCCCGTTTTATTGAAACGATCTTAAGTCACTGATTGAATGAACTGTGAACCAGCCTTTTGGAAACCACGTACACCATTCAAAATGGGTCCCCTCAACGTTCCCACACTAATGCAGTTCGAACTGCAGATAGGGTTGACTATGTCTTTAGAAAGTTTTAACGTCGATGTCTATTGTTTGTCTGAGAACCGCACTCAAGAATCTAGTAAAGTACTACAAATTCGCTCTCCATCGGTCGCTTGGAAAAGCTTGTTTCACGTGCGTTTATCTGGGCACTGTGATATCTTCGTCTAGCTTTGCTGGCGTTGATGTCGCACTTAGCGCTAGGGCTGAGGCAGCACTATTTAGGCATTCAAAACAATTGTGAAAAAATGATCAGATACTTGAAGCTTGAAAGAAGAGTGGAAATCACGGTGAGACTATAATTTATGTGATGTGTTCAAACAAACATGTTCGTTTAAATTGACCAAAATAAATAAGACAACATATAATCTTACCTATCATTTTCCAGAGTACTCAGAGTTGCTATTTTAGGCTTGCTGTGAGGTGGTTTATTAAATGTGGAGACGGAAGGCTCCTTGTTGCTTTTACTCAGTGGTTCAGTACCTTGGTCGAAATGAGAAACATCGCTTGAATGAACACCATCCTCAGAATCGAAATACGCTTTGACTGCCTCCTAAAACAAAGGGTCACCTCAAACTCCGCTATTCCTACATCGCAATTCCAATCGAAAGCTTCTAAAAAATGTTTAGCTTCCATTTCAGACGTCCCAGTAATACTACAAAAGTTTTCGATGACAGAAGGGTCCATCTGAGTGAAAAAAACAAAACCTTTGACAGATTACAGGCAAAGTAAATGTGTAATTGAAGCGAAAAGCAGACCAAACACACAAATAACTCTGGATACTTTGTAACATAGGCAATAAAAATCACTACTCAATCACTCCTAACTGTTACGCACCTTTTAAATTTTGGTAAGCCTCAAGTGTCCAATATCTACCAAACGAAACCGGTTGAGATAATTTTTTTGAAGTAAAATTACTTACACTTATCACACCTGGATATCCACTGATAATGTTTTATTGGTGATCTGTACTGGCGAATCCGACGACAATAATCATTCTTGTGGATCGTCAGTTTACGCAGTTTTGCGAATCTTCTGCATATCGAAAACAACATCGTCGCCTCGATCTCGAAACTAACGAGCTTTCGCACCAGTATCATTGACATGTGTCCATACTGACACTATTGGTTCCTTTCATCCGCTTCGATATTCTTCGGTTTGCTTGTCGAATAAATAAGCATCACCCCTTGCTTATTATTCTGTAGAAACAACTTTGTAGCAGGAAAAATTAATCCCAGAAACAATTGATTTCGTGAGTCTTCGGCACTGATGCTGACCTCATTAGTTTTATCGGACACATCTAGCTGAAGGCTCTCGGTCACGCATCCGCACCAGATCACGAATTAGTTTACCGTACTACGCATCCCTTGCAGCCACCAGCCATGCCTAGACGAAATGCATATAGGGAAATCGGTAGCCTTTAAAACATATCTTCGAATCTCTTCATTGCTCATTTGACAAGAATGAGATTTCTTGACCATAAAGGTGTTACGTGTAAAGGCGTTGTCAAACTACGAATACCTGTGACAACTTTAGTGGTGAGAATGACGTTATCAAGCATAGCTATTCGCAAACGGTGAGTCCGTATCTTGTTGGAACATTGTATGCCATTTTTCAATTTTAATTTTTACAGACTGTCATATTGTTCTCATGTTTTCAGGTATTTTCTTTCTCGTTCATTACCATATCACATCTTTACGACAGAACAGACACCTAAGCTGTTTAGGATTAAACCTCTTTCATATCCAACACTTCAGCTAATTCCATTCTGACCTGGCAATATAAAAGTTCGGTTCTACTACCCAGAAGTTGACTTCCATAAGCACAGAGTGACGGACCTACGTGCACAACTTTGCGCAGTTGGGAAGGCATTACCGCGCGAGTTCCACAGGTACTCCAAGCTGAATATCTTTACTAGTGATGTTTCGGAACCTTATGACACTTTGGAGAAGGCTATGCTTTAACGCTGAGACCTCTCCGACTGACAAGGTTTGCACCAACTCTCCCACAACACTAAATCGCATCATGGCTCGGCGACAGAAATGTTGCCACGTATGTGTGAGGCGAATGGTCAACGGACATTTGATGAGGTCCAGTTTACACAGCTCTTGTTGTCTAAGCTTCCCTAACAGGTGAATGTAATCCTTGTCTGATTACAAATTGACGTCGTAGACGGACTAGCTACATCTGCCGACCGGACTCTGGAAATTACCAGAACCCCCAACGTCGAAGTTTATTCTGTCATAGAAAATTCTCAAACGACACAAAACAACATCACAGACCACTGTCAAAATCTCATACGCTGTCTCGATATTCATCGTAATCGTAGACGCTCTCAAACTCCTCTAAGAAGCTCGTCACGAGGAAGATCTGTTACTGGACCACGAGCGACTGATTATCTTGATTGGTTCTAGGACCACGATAATTGTGGTAGGTCTTCTAGAAATTGCGGAAAACCCAGTCTTCAAACCATCCAACACGAAATCTCTTAGGCCAACTTCCCAGCCGGCACACATTTACGGCAACCGCAGCCGGCAAACACAGCTGTATGTTGTACATAATTGATGTGTTGACGAAAGTTCTCTATCTCGTCAACACTGGAGCGGACGTTAACGGTCATCTTGCGGATTCCAACGACCAATTGAGTGAAGCACTTCTGAGCTGACAGGCAGCAAATGAGGAACCGATTCCTACATACTGTTAGCAATAAGTGCACCTTAATGTGAGTTTACGCAAATCCATTCACTGAATTTTCATCGCTGCAGATGTTTCTAGGCCAATCATTAATATAGACGTAGGTTAGTAGATGGAAATAATAAATTATCTGTTTGCATAACTTCCTTTTCTGGTTGTAGATTATCTCCAGTCACAGTAAGGCACACAATCAACTCATTCAATCAAAGGATACTCGAACAGGTACATTGAACTATACCAAACGCACCTGAAACTATCTTGTGTAATTAGAAATGTTCCGCATCACACCACGACTACAGGACCACCTAAATTTTTGGAGGCTTGTCGACTCATCGCATTAGATGTACCCGACTAGGTAATCAAATGAGTCCTATAACAATAGGTGAGCAACATCTGGCAGTCTTTGTCATTCTTCCCGAGACGATTGCAAGATACTCAATCGAGGTAAAGGACTGTCGACGGGGATAGTAGGTTGGCGCAACTGTGTTAATTCTGACGATTCGCTTTCCAATACGGTCCACCTCCTCATCGAGAGTGTTCACTAATGGGCTGGCACATGTATGAGCAGGCGCTTTAGTCGTTGTTCTATGGCAAATGGTGAGTCGTGACCCTAAGACCGTGGGTTATCGCCACGCCGTTTCAGTTTATATGTTCAGTTTCAAATGGGTGTCAAAGTGCATATTTATCAAATCAGATAAAAATATGTTCGCCTTAATATGTTCAACCTTATTGAGATCCGAAATTCGAAAATGGGCTGAAGCTGCAATCGCATGCTTAAAAGGTGACCTCGATAATTGCAGAAGATATCAATGATCTCACAGTCATCCATGGCTTGACACGCTGTTATCCGCTACAAGTTTATGGTTGAGGACTTCAGAATCAGTCAAGTTAGAAGTTTGAAGTAAAGGCGTTCAAAGTTATAAATGAAGATAGTCGATGTGTCAAGAACAATTTGATGTACACTGAATAATCACTGCGAGGGTCGCGTGCCGGACGGCAGCTTGATGTAGATATCTGACCAAGCACCTTTGGTTAGGTCGTCTCCAGTGAAACTAGTGAGGTCAGGATCAATGTCGATGACTTTCTGAATTATTTATTTCGGGGATTATATGATTTCATAGTACAGAACATCTATCATTGCAATTTCAGAATTTCAAGGATTACAATGCACATGTGGAATTTAACCACTTTACCCTCCTGTAAGGCACATTAGAGGTTTGTATGATTTCGATGCTAGCCATACTATGACGTGATTTTAGATCTCACGTACTCTATTTTTCTTCCTATTAGATCAACAAATTTGAGCTACTAACTAAAAACATCTAGGGCTCCTCGTAAAATGACCTCAAATCAATCGTATTTAGTTGGTGCAACATACGAACAAGTCATCGTGAGTTGAAACGATCAAATCGATGCCATTTCTGAAAGTCTCAGTTTGACAATTTAGCTTTGTGTACAGAACATAATCTTCAGTCATCATCATGAGAACAATATCCAGATTCGTACTGTCACATCAATAAGTTTTTACCTAAACTCTAGAATTTTGCGTGAAAAAGTGTCTAGATTTCGATGTACCAATTTAGTTCTGTCTCATCGATCGATATTTATGAAAATTTTACGATTTCAAAAACGTCTTCTTTATATTGCATATAGGTGTGAACTCTTTTGCTACTAAATATATGAGATAACCCTAACCAGAAAGATCAAAAGCAACTAATCTACTACATCTCACTCGTTGATGTCGAAAAACATAGTGAAAACTCACAACGAAATGATATATATATATATATATATATATATATATATATATATATATATATATAATACAATTGTGGTAATTCTGATAATATGTTTAAGGCTGAATGAAATTTAGTTGATACAATGTCATACTTATCTGATAAACTCTAGGCCAGAAGAACTTTTAAAAGGATTACTAAATATATCAAACATAATAATCAGATAGAAAAAAACCAGGTTTATTAAGTTATATGAGAAGGAACGTTGATAATGTTTAAAAAGTTATTCTTAAATTCATTTTATGAATCGTCCCCAGTCCCTCTGTGTTTTAGTGTTCAGTTCCAAACTATCTTGTTGTTGAGAGAATTGATTGGATATACGTGATGGATTGAAGTTAGGGTTCTCTAAAGATAGGTAAGCCACTTACTTATATTCGTATGAATACGTTCCTCATTTCTGCATACATTTCCTGTAATTTTTCAAAGCTATTTCTAACAAACTATCAAAGGTAACTCCCAGTGTCCCAGTGAAAAGCCCTGTCAAAGATAAGTATGATAATTAGAAATAGTCGAGTTGATAGGCTGTTTCTAAATAAACTCACGCTAGGCCTAAGTAATTGAATGAAATGATTATCATTGTTTGACGTTAACTCTTAAAAAATCAAAAAATTAGTTTATTTGAAAATTGATGGGTAGAAATTGTCTATACTTGATGTTTTATTACGTTTTCTTAAGGTAGTTGAGAGATCGTTAAAATAAGTCTTTTTTTGAACAGATTGCAAAAATTGCAATTTCAATAAGTAATCCATAATAGACTAAGTGGGAGTAACCAATCATTTCTACAAAAATCAGGTTGCATAACATGAAGAAGGACAATTCATCATAGTATGTTAACCATTTGAACATTGTTTCTAGGATGTTTGATCAAATTGTTAATTATATGAAATATTTATATGCAATTGAGAGTGTTAACGTATGTTACATAATAACTGGTTTTTGTTAACTTGAATAAATTTGCATAAAATATATTACATTTACTGTGTTAAAACTGATCAAAATATATACTATAATCAATTGAAGAAAGTTTATTTGTGTTAGATACAAACTATGCTAATGTACATAGTGTGAAATAAACAGCAAGACGCTGCTTAGATTTGTTAGTGTTCAGTTATGTAATCAAAAGAAAAAACATTCATACAAACACTTCATAAATAAAAATGTCTCTATGTACACATATAACAGTACTCCATTGTTGAT